AGGCTGTTTCCCCTGGTTGGTTGAGTGTCTCTGTGCTCTCTCTAGGCCTGCTGGAGAGCAGCATGCGGCTGAAGCCCCACGAGGCCCAGAGCTACAGGAAGAAGGCCCTGTGGGTGTCCTGGGTCTCCATCGTGATCACCATCGCTCTGGCCATCGCCGCCTTCAGTGAGTCCCCTCAGATACTCGCCCCCGCAGGTCCAAACCGGCCCGATCAGACATTCATCTGCAAACCAAACACAGTAAAGACGAGCCGCCCGGCCTGGTAACGCAGAGCAAACTGTTTGCTCTTCACTTGATCATAAAACCAACCTGGACGGCTTTTATTCAAAAGGCAGAGTCGGCTTTCAAATGCTGCTTTAGCTTCTTTTTCTTGAGGAGGAAAAGCTAATAGGAGCTCTTATTTAACATTTTTTATCTAGTATTCATCATCCAGATTCAGATTTCAGATTCAGATCATTTTAAAAAATGATAAAACCAACCTGGACAGCTTTTATTATTCAGCTGCTGCTTTATCTTCTGTTCCTGTGGATAAAAAGCTAATTGGAGCTCAGATTTAACTTTTTTAATCAGCAATGCATTCTCCAGAATCAGATTCCTCCATTTTAAAAACGTATAAAACCAACCTGGACGGCTTTTATTTAAAAGGCAGAGTCGGCCTTCAGCTACTGGTTTAGCTTCTGTTCCTGAGGAGACAAAGCAAATTGGAGCTCTTATTTAACTTTTTTAATCTGTTATGCGTCCTCCAGATTCAGATTCTGCCATTTTAAAAACAGTTTTTAGCAGCTTTTTGCTCTTTGGATGCCTGTTTTTATATATTTTTTCTCATTTTGTGCCAGAAACTAGCCTCCCGTGAGTGAGGCAGCTCTTTTTGAGTTATCTATCGACAGGCTTTTCCTTCCTCCTTCGCGTGAAACTCAGATTAGTGTCTGATAAGCGCTCGCGCTTTGCCACAGAACTGTACCAGTGGCCGGTCCCACATGTTGGCGTCTCACATGTTGCCTTTTCTCGTGGCTCCGCTTTAAGGCCGCGAGGGGAGGTGGGTGAGGCCCGCTAACAGTCATCTGACCTGCATTTCTCTGGTCATGTGCCTGCTCACTCGGAGGAATCCGTCCTCTGGGAGTTAAAGTTGGAGTAAGACCTGATTCTTGGTCAGAATTAGGAGCCGTTTGTCTCTAAAATTAAGCCTTTCAGGCGTTTTTTCCACTTCCTGTATGGGCCTCTCTCTCTATCTCTCACGAGTCAGAAACATTCCTCCATTCCTCAGTCTGAGTTTCACTTATGGAGAATTAGAGAATCTGATTTGGGTAATTCTGCCGCAGATGCTTTGGGAGGAAAAGCTCGACTCATGCGTGAGCTGCTCCGACTCTGACGCGTAAAAAATGAGCTCCACAGCTGCGATTTCTGCAGCACATGGAGGGAGGTGCCACCATAACCGCCACGATTAGATCATCTGTGAACTAAACGGGCTAAAACTGCCACGGTTTCTGCAGAAGGGGCCTTTAAAAGCTGTTAAACTATCTCTAAAACGTGATTTAGGGACAAAAATACCAAAAAAGTGTGTTTTATTATTCTACTTTTTCATAAATATCACATTTGTTGCTGTTAAACCATCCCTAAAATGTGATTTAGGAACAAAAAAACTAAAAAAAGTCTCTTTTATTATTCTACTTTTTCATAAATATCACGTTTTTACCAAAAAGTGTTGATTATTAAACGAAAGATACAAAAAAGAGCGAACAGCTCTGCAGAAAATGAAAATCCTGCCCCTTAAAGCAGATTATTTACCAGTTTTGGTTCATGCAATTTCAGCTGCAAATGCGTGTAAACGTGGCACAGAAGTATTTTCATTTATTCAAATTAGTCCATGAAAATTACACATATCAGCCGCTGTTTAATTCCATCTAAATATCAATTACGGTAATCAATAAATGTGTTCCCCCAGTGGAGGAGGATTGTTTTTCTATTCCTATTTCTTCTCTTCTACAATTTAAAGAATCTAATAAACAAAAACACGTACTTTTTCAAGAAAAAACAACTTTCTTTATCTTTTTAAAATATTTTGAAATATAAACATTAAAAACTTCAAAGGATAAATCCGTGTTAAAGAGTCCATTTGAAACAAGAATATTACTAAAATCAAGAAATTACGTTTTTTATTAATGGAAGTTTACCGGTAACTTGAAATAAAAAATACAAGTTATTCTTTTCTCCACTTACATTGTAAGGTTTTGTTTTCTTTTAAACAAAATACAAACAACCCTTTTATAAACCTTTAAAAAGTACAAATTAAACAGTGACTGTTGAGCTGTTGAAAGATGTATCTGAACTTTATATTTTCTACAGTTCGGGTATCACTAAACATCTCAAACTGAAACAGGAAAACAGGGATAAAACGTTTTATTTCCTGATGACAGTGAAGGCAGCATTTTGTGGCTCTCTGACCCCTAATGGCCCCCAGACTTTCCCCCCTAATGCAGAGATAATTTGGTGAGTCGCTCTTGATAACCAGCCAATAAAAACACTTTATTCATACTGAGTATGAATGTTCACGCTTGCTGCTGAACGTTGGAAAGAAAAAGTCCTGAAAAGTGGAAATAATGAGATTAAACTACTGCTGACAAACCGCAGATTAACGACCAAATGGAGCTTTTATTTAAATGTATGATCATCTTTGTGTCTTTCTGTGTTTCTGCTCAGTTAAATGAAACACATCTCCTGTAAATTCAATATTTTTTTCAGTTTTCGTGTTGTATTTTGTTCATTACATAACGTTTAATCACGTTTATAAGCGTAAAAGGTGATGAGTCATGATAACTCATAGTGACATAAACAATAACATACTAAGTTATCTGCATAGTGAAAGAAAAACCTGGAAAAAGACATTTAAATTAGATTAATTAGACATTTATTTCTTTTTAAACCTTAAAGGGGTCACTTCTATTCCTTTTTCTGGCTTCTTTTGTCCACATTAAAGATCTCCATGGATACAAAAGAGTTCTTACTCCTGCAGAATCTCTGAAATCATCACGTTTTTCATCGGTAGCCGTAGCTAATCGGCCATGATCTACACAGACATGTGCTTAACGAGTGTGTGACCACATTCCCATTCACAGTGATCAGTTTGTAATCAAACCAGCGTCATCGGACACATTTCTGACCAACATGACTCCCAGAATATGCAAAAAAGAAGCCACAGACGCTCACATGTGAGGTTTATCTTGATTCAGATTCATGCAAATCAAGACAAAATCAAACTGGAACGGAGGATGTTTTCTTTCTAAAAGCCACAAATGAGCGTGAACGTGCACAAACGCGTGATTTAGAGCACGAGGGATTGTTTTAGTTTTCCTCAAGCTGAGTTTTCCCTGAATAACTATCTGGATATTCAGCCTCAATTTGCTTCCCACTCCTCCAGTTTGTCTGTTTGACATCATGTTCAGTGAGCTGGTGAGCAGACGGGCTCTTTCAGACGAGGTTTGAAGTCTATTTTTTGCTCTTTTTTTCCATGTAAAAGCGGCTCTGGCTGCAATAGGAAGGGATGAAAGTGCAGCCTCCTGCAGGCTGTCAGTCGCCCAGAACAAAACTGGAAAGCTCTCCCAGCCCTGGTCCTCATGTTTTCTCCACTTTCTCCTGATTCTGAAAGAGCTGAAATAGCTGAAAGCTGTTAGGTTGCTGTGATCAGGTGTGCTGTTTCAGCTGGGAATCTGAGCTGTGTGACAGTTTGGGGCAGAAATGTGTAAAGTACTGGAGTAGAGGAAGTAGAAGTACAAGTACAATATAAAAAATAATAAATATATATATATAAAAAGAGTTCTTTCAACTCCATACTTAAGTGGAAGTACGGAAGTACTCAATTTTTTTTAACTTAGGTATTGCAAGTAGAAGTATTTCAAAAATTGCTACTCAACTATTGAAAGTACATAAAATTTCACAATCTTTTTTTATAGGCTATTATGACATATTATGACTATTTATGACTATGACTTGGGGAGGATTCATTACGTTTACATATCAGTAACGAGCAGAGATGTGTAGTAACGAAGTAGAACTACTTAAGTACTGTGCTTAAGTACCAAAATGCAGTATCTGTACTTTATTGGAGTATATTCTTTTTCCCTACTTTTACTTTTACTCCACTACATATTTTTTATTAATTTAATACGTTTACTTTCACGGGCTGAATCGTTACTCGTTACTGATGTGTAAACGTAATGAATAGCAATGGCTGTATGTACTTTAAATACTTGAGTAGCAATTTTTGAAATACTTCTACTTGCAATACTTACGTTAAAAAAAATGGAGTACTTCCTTACTTCCACTTAAGTATGGAGTTGAAAGAACACTTCAACTTATACTCAAGTAAATTTTTTTATACAGTACTTGGACTTCTACTCCAGTACTTTATACATCTCTGGTAACGCGTAACGATTCAGTCCGTGAAAGTAAAAGTAAAAGTATTAAATTAATCAAAAATATGTAGTGGAGTAAAAGTAAAAATAGGGCAAAAAATATATATATACTCCAATAAAGCACAGATACTGTATTTTGGTACTTAAGTACAGTACTTAAGTAGTTGTACTTCGTTCCTGTATATCTCTGTTTATGGGACAGTTCACATCAGAAATGATGTAAAACACTCTCTGTTTTTGGAGCAGCAGAGCTCCTTCCTTCTTCCTTTCTGGACTCCTCCAGATAAAAAATCAGATCTATGCAAATGGGATGGAAGCAGCACACAAACCGACAGCCAGGCGGGTTCCTCTGGAGCCAATTAGCCGCCACCGGCTCCGCGTTGGCTCCATTTACACAAACGGCGAAACGAGGGGGGAGGAGGAGCTGCAGATCTCCGTCTGAGCCCAAAATAAACCCTAAAACATGTAAACACGGAGATGAAATGGCGGTGGATCTTTTTTTTGGAGGGAAGCTCAAAGCCAGCCGTTCAAAATCTGGTCGGTTCCTGATTTTAAAAGCTGGAAACATCCATCTGAGGTCGGCAGAGAAGCCGAAAATGTGAGTTTTCTCACTTTAGAATCATTAAAAAAAAGTATTAATGCAGAAATTATTGTGCTGCTGATTTAGGGGATTAAATTAGATAAAAATAAACTTCAGATATGAACAAAACCAATAAAAATCTGTCTGCTTATGAAGCAAAAAGTATCAAATGACGCCCAAATCTGTGTTTCCAGCACTTTAACATATGTTTCCACTTATTTCTGTATTATCTGGAATAATGGAGCTCATTTACTGAAAATTAGAGCTGATTTTATTATTTTTTCCTTTAAGGATGCTGATCTGAAAGAGTCTGATGCTTCATTTTGGAGGAAAAACAGCAGAACTCTGAATTCTTTGGACTCTAGTTTGGATCAGAGGCTCATATTCAGATGTGTTATAACAGATAAAATACTAAAAGAGCAAAGTTTGTAACCATCCGTGTCATTTTTAACCGGTTAGATGGAGAAAAACAGAGTTAAGTCTCCTTAACTTCAGACGACAGGAGGGTTAAATGAAGGGAAACTGGATGTTCAGCCTCTCTGTCTCCGATTGTTTTCTCCATTTTAGCCTCTGAGTGTTTGTGCCTGTGGTCATGTGACCGCCTGAAGCCGCCCGATTGGTGGAGCTCAGTCTTTTGTGGACAGATCCCAAAACAAACAGATTTCTTTACATGATTTCAGATCAAAGTGGAGTTTCTTCTCCATGAATGTTACCGGTGACAAAAGGAGCAAACGCCTCATTCCAGAGGGCTGTTTTTCTGGTTTTAGCCTCCTTGAGCAAAAAGTATCAAATGACTCCCAAATCTTTGTGTTTCCAGCACTTTTACATATTTTTCCCACTTATATCTGTATTATCTGGAATAATGGAGCTCATTTACTGAAAATCAGAGCTGATTTTTTCATTCTATCCTTTAAGGATGTTGTGAGAAAGAATCTGATGCCTCATTTTGGAGGAAAAATAGCAGAACTCTGAATTCTTTTGACTCTAGTTTGGATCAGAGGCTCATATTCAGATGGCCAAAACCTCTCACAGAAACTCGGATTCAAACCTTCATTATAACCCGACGGGTTGTTATTCGTTTGTTACGTAAAAGCTTCACTTTGAGCCCCACTTTGTGCAGCAGGAGCTGCTTTCGTTCGTTCGTTTTTGGGGGCTGAATGTCGACGAAATAACAAGCAGGGGAAGAAGGAGAAAAGGATGGCGCAGAGGGAGGGGAGAATAAAGAAATGAGTTCAGGGGAGGCAGAAAGAAGCCGACACCTGACTGTGGAGTGCTTCTGCATGCAGCCCCCTGTGACTCTGCTAAAAATAGGCTTCCTCCCCTCCATCTTATGGCATCTCTCTCCCTCCTGCCTCACTTTGGGCCTCTTCCTCGCCTGTATTTATTTATTTAATCAGGACAGTGCACATTAATGAACAATCTCATACAGATTGTAAATGAGCCAGATTATAGCATAGTTGCTAATTCGCAGGAAGACAAAACAACACAAAATCACATAACACAATATCAGTTAAAACAGAGAGACACACGTTCAGACGATGACATTACAAAATTAAAATGAGTGATTGCATGACTGGGAACTTTTGAAAAACAGTTTAAGGTGCTTTTTAAATGTGTAAAAAGTGGGACCTTCCCTGATGTTTGTTGGGAGAAGTGACCCCCTCTGACTGATAGAACGGTTTGTCCAGAGGTTGTTCTTCTGTGTTACATTTGGTTTTAAACGCGCTTTTATTGAGCCTCAAACACAGAAAATCGTATGCAAATTGAATTTTATAGCGGTCCAGTGAACTCTGTTTTTAATCCTCTGTTTCCTGTTTCCTCCCCAGCTGTGTCCATCATGCGCCACAGTGCTTCGGCCTTCGGATTCGCTGTAAGTTTGGGGGTTTGGGGGTTAAAGTTTGGGGGTTAAAGAGGCATATTTCCGTGCGTTCTGATGTCTGACGGCTGTTTTTATTTGCTCTGTAGTTCGACGCCGTGCTGGACGTGCTTTCCTCCGTCATCGTGCTCTGGCGCTATAGCAACGCAGCCGCCGTCCACTCAGCCCACCGCGAATACATGTGAGTGCCCCCGTCCCCCCAAAAGACAAAGAAATCTCATCATTTACAGCCAAAAGGGAGAAAAAAAACAGCGTTTGGTCAAATTAAAATGTCATAAACTGATGTCTGAGTCACAGAGAACAACAGAAAATGAGAAAATAAGTGAAATGTCAAAGAAAATTTGAGATTTTAACTGTTTTGAGGAAGTAAAGACGTGAAAAAAATAAACCAGAGAGCAAAGATGGATCTTAAGAAAGAGTTTAACCCTTTAAAGCCTGATCCAAGAATAAAACAAAACAGAAAATTACTTTTTTTTGTTTTGAAGTCTTTATTTGGCCTTTTAACTAAATACATTTAGTAAATACATTTTTAATATGAATAATTCATCACTATGCGATAAGTCAAGATTATTTTTTGTGTAGTCTTCTGCCCCCTGTTATCAGGTGTATCTGATTGTGTACAATAGGATTTTGAGCAAAGTTTTTACCATTAAATTATCCAAAAGGTGTCAGATGCAAAACATTTCAGAAACCGTATGTATCAAATATGACACATTTGGCATTACAGGGTTAAACATGAGTTCATGAACCAGAAGCCTAGGTGTGGAAACAGCTGTATTTTGTTTTGGGGACAGGGCTCAAATATGAGTGTGGATTAAACCCTTTTAATGGACGACAAGCTGTTAAAATCTGCTCTAAAAGGGCTCATCTGGGCTGGTCTGAGACTTCCTCAGCATCCTCCTGGGCTTCTCTCAGACCTGTTTCTGTCCAGATCCACCTTCAAATAAAGCCCAAAACAACAAGAGTACTCGGAAACAAACGATCTCTGTCTTTACTTTTGGCAAAAATGAGTGAAACCTTCTGATACCGTTAGCATAGAAACACCATCCCCCTGTTTTCCGGTTCCCGTTTGACCTTTTTCCTGCTTTTTCCCAGCCGTTCTGGGTCGTCTTTGTGGGGATTTGAGTGCTTTTAGGTGGCGAAACTCCTCCTGAAAAGCCAGGCGGCTGGAATCGCTGCAGGAGCTGCTTTAGCTGCTTTAATCTCAGATGCTCTGGCAGCTTTCGGCCCCCAGAGAGATCCCATAACCGGAGAGGAGGGGAGGAGAGGAGAGGAACGAGCCGCGTCTCTTTAGTTGATTCGTGGTGAAAAGAGGCTGGTTTATTTGTAACAAAGACGGTGAAATCAGAGCGTCTGGAGGAGGAGATGAGATCAGGTCCCCCGGAGACTAAAACCGACCGGTTATCCGTCTGAGGAGGCTCGTTTTCCTTTTGCTTTTTACCAGATTATTGGGCTTTGATTTTGAAATGAGAGCAGAGCTCCAGAAACGTCTCCCTCCTGTTTAATCTGAGTGCAAACAGACATTTCCAAAGGAAACTCCCTCTGAAAACAGCTGATCAGGAGGGAAGAGTCTCCTTCTAAGTTATTATAACTATTAATTACTAAATATTAAAAGGGCTACGGTGGACTTTATCTAATTTATAAAGGATTAAAATCTAAAAAATGAACCTCTGAACTTCCCTCTGATAGTTTGGGAGAAAACACTAGTTACAAATCAGCATCGTTAATCTTTATTTATTTATTCTGGCTCCTGTAAGGTCGTAAAACCTCCTCCTTCTAAGTTATTAGAAGTATTACTAACTAAGAATTAAAGGGGCCATCATGGACTTTATCTCCTTTATAAAGGATTCAAATCTAAAAAAATGAACCTCTGAACTTCCCTCTGATCGTTTGGGAGAAAACACGAGTTACAAATCAGCATCGTTGATCTTTATTTAAGGTTTTAAAACCTCTTCCTTCCAAGTTATTAGAAGTATTAATAACTAAGTATTAAAGGGGCCATGATGGACTTTATCTCCTTTATAAAGGAGTTAAAATTAAAAAAATGAACGTTTGAACTTCCCTCTGATCGTTTGGGAGAAAACACGAGTCACAAATCAGCATGGTTGATCTTTATTTATGTATTCTGGCTCCTGCGGGGTCGTAAAACCTGCTCTGATTGGCTGGTTTGTGTTTCTAAGTGAACCGGGACGAGCTCCTGTGACTCCCAGCCTCATAAAACAGCTCAGATTGAAAGGGAGAAACTCCCGGTTGTGTGTGTGTGTGTGTGTGTGTGTGTGTGTGTGTGTGTGTGTGTGTGTGTGTGTGTGTGTGTGTGTGTGTGTGTGTGTGTGTGTGTGTGTGTGTGTGTTGGCTGGAGCTCGAGGCGCGCGGCGAGGTGTGAGGATGGCCTGTTGCCAGGGCAACGGATGGGGGGACTTTCGCCTCCATCTCAGACGAGAAACAAAAGCCTCTCTTTTTGTTATCGATCTCAGCGACCGTTGTGTGTTTGTTCCTGATGTGACTGCCACAGCCTGTGTGTGTCTGTGTGTGTGTGTCTTTGTGTGTGTGTGTCTCTGTGTGTCTGTGTGTGTGTCTGTGTGTGTCTTTGTGTGTGTGTGTCTGTGTGTATCCGTGTGTTTCTGTATGTGCGTGTGTGTGTGTGTCTGTGTGTGTATCCGTGTGTGTCTATCTCTGTGTGTCTGTGTGTGTGTCTTTGTGTATCCGTGTGTTACGTGTCTGTCTTTGTTTGTGCGCGTGTGTCCGGGTGTGTCTGTGTGCCTGTGTGTGTCTGTCTGTGTCTTTGTGTATCCGTGTGTGTTTGTGTGTCCCTGTGTGTGTGTGTGTTTGTGTGTCCATGTGTGTGTTTGTGTGTCCGTGTGTGTGTCTTTGTGTATCCGTGTGTGTCTCTGTGTGTCCGTGTGTGCGTCCTGCTGTGGACCTCCCAGGCGGATGCTGGGCGTTGCCGTGGTTACCTCCTCCAGCCAGAGCCCTCCACTCCTTATATGGTCGTGGGGGCAGCCCTCTCTGGCCCAGCGGGGTCCAGCTCCCCTCGGAGGCCGTTCGCACATATACTGCCTCACAACCCACACTCAGGGGGGCCCCCAGACCCGGGGACCCCGGATTTACTCACTTTTGTGGAAGTTTGACATTTTTGTGTCAAACTCAACTCATCAGGAGAGTCACAGAAGGCTTAAATGGAGGGAGATGATAAAAAAATTATTTTAAAAAATGACCTAAAATGAGCTTAAGTGAGGCAGAACTGGGATAAAATTAATAATGCCACCCTTTAGATTTTAAATCCCATCTCAGACTCTTAAGATCGATCAGCAGGTTAAAGGTCAAAGGTCAGCAACTTTCCAACAATAAGCTTTAAAAGCTAAAGCTTTAAGGGGGAACCTCTGGGTTCTTCACCAGGAGTCAATATGGGACAAACTAGGACTCATTTGAAGTCAGAATGTGGGAAATATTAACAAACCACGGGGTTTGTGTCTCCGAGCATCCGAGGACCAACATGGCCGCCCGATTCCTGCCTTTTAGTTTAAGAAATAATGAAATTTTGCTTTCTTTCCACTGTGTTTTTTCATGTTTGTGATCTTTTACCAGCTGGCCTCTTTCCTCTTCCCCTCCCCAGAGCCTGTGTCATCCTGGGGGTTATTTTTATCCTCTCCTCCATGTGCATTATGGGAAAGGCCATCCATGACCTGGCCACCAAGCTGCTGCCAGAAGTGGTGAGAATTCCTACGGCACTCGAACACATCGGGCCACCTCACTGAACCCCACATGCCGACAGCAAGCCAGAAATTTAAAGCGTAATCAGATTTTTTGTGAGGACTTTGTGGTTATTTTTGAAGCTCTGCCTGGTCCTGAGCAGCCGGGGGG